GATTTCTGAGCCCTTTTTCTATTTATCTTTTTTTTTTTTTTCCAGTTTTTGGCCGGGGCTGGGCTTGAACTCACCACCTTCGGCATACGGGGCCAGAGCCCTACTCCTTTGAGCCACAGGCGCCGCCCCCTGAGCCTTTTTTCTTTGCTTATGATATAAAGAAGATAGAACCTATCCTAAAAAGGCATTTGTAGGGATTGAAGATAATCATCTATGTGTGCACACGTGTCTGTTTATATCTACATCCATTGCAAAAAGAGAGAATATATGGTTTTGTTACTCAGGTAGCTACTCTATATTCAAGACAGATATAGTTTCATTGTTTATGGTAGTTATGTTGTTTAACTGTGAACATTGAATCAGCATATACAAAACCATTACTTCCATGGAAAAACATTTTATATATATATATATATATTTTTTTTTTTTTTCTTTTGAGAGATGGGGTCTCACTTTTGCTGAGGCTGGTCTCAAACTCATGAGCTCAAGCAATCCACCCACCGTGGCCTCCCAGAGTGCTAGGATTACAGGCATGAGTCACCTCACCAGGCCGAGAGATACATTTGCTTGGTCCATGTCACCAAGCAAAACAAAGGCAAGTGGACTTGCTCTATTTGTAAAAATCTGTAAGAGATGTGATCAGATTCGATGTGATCCTGGACTGGTTGTTAGTTTCGATGAACCGCCTATAAAGAATATTTGGGGAGAAATTAGGGGACATTTGAATAGAGAGTGGGTATCAGTATTATTGCCATGGAAAGGAGGAGATTGTTAATTAACTGGAAAAAGCAGGTTACAAAATTACAGACTCAGTATGATATCATTTGGGTAAGAAGTACTTAAAGGTGCATTAAAATGTGCATTAGACAATCTGCAATGATGTTCTATGTCAGCATCACAGCAGAAAGCAGCAAGCATAGCTCAGAAGGGTTTAAACTGGAGTGAGTTTAATAAGGGACCGTGTTTAGAGGCAGCAACAGAGTTAAGGTGTGAGCAGAGACCAGCACTGGGTAGGGCAGCACCTGGGGGCTTAGCAACAGCAGGGAGCTGCTACCACCCTGCTGGGGTTGAATTGAACCCCCCCAAACAATATGTTGAAGTCCTCATTCCTGGTGCCCATATGTGTGACCTGATTTGGAAATGGGATTTTTGCAGACGTAACCAAGTTAAGCGGTTACAAGTTAAGCTCGTGTCCTTCAAAGAAGAGACATGGACAGAGAGAGGCACAGGGAGAAGATGGCTATGTAACAATGGAGACAGAGACCACAGGGATGCAGCCACAAGGCAAGAATCAACAAGGATTGCTGGCAACACCAGAAGCTGGGAGAGAGGCACGGTACAGATTTTCCCTCACCCCAGAGTTGCCAGAAGGAACCAGCAACCCTGCTTGACACTTTGAACTTGGACTTCCAGCTTCCAAAACTGAGAGAGAATAAATGTCTGTTTTGTTAAGCCACGCAGTTTGTGGTAATTTGTTACAGCCATGCCCCAGGACATTAACACCCCTCTCCCCACTTGGGATATCAAGGGGCAGGGAAGGAGTGATGCCACCTCACCGGAAGACAGAGGAGTCTTGAGGAGCTATGGGTGGGCATCTTCCATCCTCCATTTTCCTGCCCTTCCTCTGGCTGACCTCAGCCTGAGTCAGGAGGGCAGGGCCAGGCTGGTGCTGAAGGCACAGAGAAGGGCAGAAAGTGGATTCAGAGGAGCACATAGGCAAATTGGGAAAGAACTAGAATGCTTTCCCATATTTACTTGTCAGGGGTTGAATCACGGTCCCTCAAGATGTTCATGTCCTAATCCCTGAAACCTATAAATACATGACCTTTGCAGATTCACTTAAGGATTTTTTTTTGAGGGGGGTGACAGTCTAACCTTGTCGCCCCTGATAGAGAGCTGTGGCATCATAGCTCACAGCAACCTCAGACTCTTGGGCTCAAATGATTCTCTTGCTTCAGCCTCCCGAATAGCTGGAAATACAGGTCCCCGCCACAATGCTGGGCTATTTTTAGAGTCAGGGCCTTGCTCTAGCTCAGGCTGGTCTTGAACTCCTAGGCTTAGGCAATACACCCACCTTGGCTTCCCAGAGTGCTGGGATTATAGGCATGAACCACCTGGCCTGGCCACACTTAAGGTTCGTGACGGGCTGATGATCCTGGAGCATCCAGGTGACCTAGTACTATCATAAGTGTCCTTGTAGGAAGAATGCGGAGGGAAATCTGATGGTAGATACCAAAGGGCTGGGGTGCAATGGCTCACGCCTGTATTCTCCGCACTCTGGGAGGCTGACGTGGGAATATTGCTTGAGCTCAGGAGTTTAAGACCAGCCTGAGCAAGAGTGAGACCCCTATCTCTGCTAAAAATAGAAAAACTAGCCAGATGTGTGGCAGGTGCCTGAGTCCCAGCTACTTGGAAGTCTGAAGCAGGAGGATTATTTAAGCCCAGGAGTTTGAGGTTGCTGTGAGTTATGATGCCATGGCACCCTACCCAGGGCAACAGAGTGAGCTGTCTCAACAAAAAAAGAAAAAAAGAAAAGAAACCAAAGACCAATCTGACAGCTGAAGTAGGTGCCTCACTGCTGGCTCTGAAGATGGAGAAAGGAGCCACAAGGCACGGAATTCAGCTCCAGAAGCTGGAGAAGGCCAGGAAAGGGCCTGTCCATCGGAGCCTTTGGAGGGAGGGTGGCCCTGACCACATCTTGCTTTCTTTTTTTTTTT